ATGGAGTTTCCAAGGCGCACAGCCTACTTATTTCATTTACACGTGTTTGTGGTATGCCGATCACAGTATCCGCGCGGTGTAATGCATGAACTATCTTCACCCGCTCGAACACTGGGATCGTGGGTTCGAATCCAACTCTAGATATGGATGTCTGTGTGCGTTTATTCTGTGCTTGTCCTGTCCTGTATGTAGGCAGCGACCCCCGTCCAAGATGTCCTGCCAACAGTGTAAAACTGTAAAAGTGACCAAGTATCAAAGTGTTGTGGAAAGAAAAAAGTCTGTGATTTGTGCTAATTGGTACGTATAATTTTCCAACACTGAACAATTATTTGTAATAGCAGTATTGCCTGTCTTGGAACTTGTGGTTACGTCATACTTTAAGTAAGTAGCCTTACGGAATAGAAGTCATGTGTACTCAACAAGACCTCCGAAATTTTGAATTTAGTTCTCATTGTACCATTTTCTTCATAATTATGACGTAAAGACCTACGTTAATATCGGATGATAACGAAACTTGAAAACTCTTTTATACCCAGTATAACACAGGAACTCTACCGTTGATGGTATTATCGTGGCGTAGGTGCTGAGAGAGTGGGGGAAGATCTTCAGCGGTGTTCTGCTTCTTAGTTAGGAATAGGCGTGGGGGGGGGAGTTAGTGGACCGTTGTAATTCCGACTGCTGCAACAAAAGATATGTCAATATTCGAACTACGCAAGTCGTTTAAACAGCAGGTTTATAGCATTATGTTTTATAAAGTATTCGTCTAAACTTCGATACAGAAAATACAGCGTCACTATAAGAGCCGTGAATTGTATTTCATCTTTTTACTTTCTTAGTCTTGCCTGATGATTCTTTAAATTGATGAAAATATACAAACTTCTTATTCAGTCACAGTGACATTATTGGCAAATTATGAATTATGAAGGTGCTCATTTTATTGTTATATGATTGGCTATGGAAGGGGTTTGGATTGGTAATAAGTTTTATTAGACTTTTAAAATCGTAAGTACAGGTAATGATTGCGCAATCGCCAACTCACACATTTTACAAACCGCTACAGCACGCTTTAAATCTTCTCAGTCTGCTATGTCTTCACTTTTTGTCGACTGGTAAGACTCCAAGAGTCGTAGATACCCCAGCTTTCGTGATCAGATGTTTTTGTCCCCTTTGGCTGGCGGGTACCTCTCAACTAGGCGTCGCCTTGTCCCAGTCTTCTAATAAGAGCTATTCCTCACTCCTTTACGGCTCACGAACCGCACTGGAGTCTATCTCACAAAAAGACTCGGCGTTGCTACGCAACGAATTAGTGCAATAGGGACTCCTCCACCTTTACCAAAGGTGGCCTTCTCCGACGACCTCCGACGGGTCTGTATCGCAACTGGTAACTGCAGAATCAAGACATTCTCTAGAGTCTACACTGTCGACTGACTGGCTTATCCCGTTGGTCCTCGTGGTATAGCCTCCGGACGGACCCAACAGAAAACACAGCTTCCCACAATTCCTCTATTGTCGCGTGACGTCACTGCAGAAGTGGGCGCGATATGTCGTGATGTGTTCCTCTGTTGCGTATAAGCGTGCTGTTGTCACGTGACTTGGTAGCCGTGGAAATGTGTTTACAGAGCTGTTGCATAGCACCGGCAGTTTTTACTGGTTTCACACTTTCGTGTGTCAGCTAAAATGTGACAGTATAATTTTCGCCGTCTTCCAGGTATTTCTTCCAGAGTCTAAAATGTCTTTTCATAACCCTGTACCCACGCATTTTCTGTTTATGTTCTTCACTTCGGGCAGTGAGTCTCACCCCGTTTTATACTGTGCCCCAACAACCCTTTTGTCGAGAAAAAAATTATGTGCGAACACAGCAAAATGAACGTTCTCTTAATGTTACATTTCAATATCCTGTTGCAACAAATAAAACTGTAAATAATATCATATATAAAATAATTGAATGGACATATAGACATTTAAAAACTCTAAAATAGTGCAACACAGATTACAGAAATGCTACCAACTGCAACCCCCTTAACCCAAAGTAAAACCGAGGCAACTGCAATAGGAGGAAAGAAACCGCGCATTACAGTGAACAGCAGTATCCTTGTCCACACCTGTACACCCGAAGATGGCCAGGTAAGCTGAAACATGTAGTGAAATAGTATCCAGTAAAGGAACAGTAGTCACATTTTAGGCCTCCACTGTGGTCTAATGGTCAGAGTTCCTGGCTACAGATCCAGAGGTCCCGGGTTTGATTCCCGGCGCTACCAGATTTTTTTAGAAGTAGTGGGTCTGGAAAGGAAATAGCGGCTCCGGTCTAGAAAATCGAAATTAATGGCCATGGGGATTCTTTGAGCTGACCATGTGACACCCTCTATCCGCTAAAGTTGGCACTAACTTCGCCTACAAGCGGCGGTCGCTCGGTCGGTAGGTAAAGTTTGTATAGTATAATATGCGGTTAAATTTACTCAGCTTCAATTCCAAATCATCATTCTTAAATTTTGAAGATTGCGATTTAAGTAACTAAAGTAATTTACTTACTCAGTAGATTCATCACATGCAACAATCGTTGGCTTTACAGGGTATTTTTCTTTTAAATCCATTACACTTTAATTTTGTATTACTCGCTAATAGAAGATCATAAAACTTAAAAGTCTGTAAAAATATTTGATAATTTTTACTATACATATTATTATTATTTAAGGGGCTGTAACTCCTTTATAGTAATTGAAAATATAGTGATGTATCCTGGTCACTATAGCAGAGCGGTCTAAGGCATGAACTGTCTTCGCTCGCTCGGAAGCCGGGATCGTGGGTTCGGATCTGTTTCCTGTGAGGTACGAACTGAATTCTTATATATTATTCTTATACACTGCCGGTCACGGTAGCAGAGCGGTCTAAGGCATGAACTGTCTTCGCTCGCTCGGAAGCCGGGATCGTGGGTTCGGATCTGTTTCCTGTGAGGTACGAACTGAATTCTTATATATTATTCTTATACACTGCCGGTCACGGTAGCCGAGCGGTCTAAGGTATGAACTGTCTTCGCTCGCTCTGAAGCCGGGATCGTGTTTTCGAATCCCACACAAGGCATGGATATTTGATATGTGTATGCGTTTATTCTCCGTTTGTGTTGTCCTGTGTTTAGGCAGAAACCTTTCTTCGGGCTGATCACTCGCCCAAGGAGTCCCACCGTCTGTAAAATGATCATGAAACTGAAAAATCAAAAGCCAGGGCCCAAGGGGACTGTAGAACCAGTGAAAAATAATAGCGCAACAGAACAACTCGGCACCTTATACACACGATGGTGGCCAGTTAAGCCGAAAAATATAGAGTTGTATAATAAAGAGAGCAAGACATGTGAACATCAATATTTCGGCGAGGTTGCACAAAGACGCAAGGAGTGGGAACATATAGTTAGAAGTCTCCATTTCAGCCTATCCAACTGTTCTGTGAACATCTCTGGACAAGTTACTGGGGACATATGCTAGGTTTTGCCATTGTGACACAACATGAAAGTGAGATGGCTTGCGCGACCATGAGTCAGGAACATTTTGTTTGTATATCTAGGGGCAGAGACGCCACGTGGCATTTATGGATTCTGCAGATAGAGACTGGTGTTTCACTTCAACAGTAATATATACATATGTGCCATAAAATCTAGTATGTAAACACTGTCGCTTACATTATTTTAGCCAGTCACCCAAATATATGAATACGACATACCGCTAACCGTGACCGCTTCCTATTTCCCGAAATTGTAAAACCATCGCGAAATATAGTCTGCGTAAAACGTGCTTGATTTTCGAATTTGAGGTTCTCAAAGCGGTATTTATGAAGATATCTCGTATGGGTTGAATACCGTCTCTCTGGTCTAGTGGTCAGAGTTCCTGGCTACAGATCCAGAGGTCCCGGGTTCGATTCCAGGCGTTACCAGATTTTTCTGCGAAGTAGTGGGTCTGGAACGGGGTCCACTCAGCCTCGAGAGGATAATTGAGGAGCTATTTCAAGGAAATAGCAGCTCCGGTCTAGAAAACCGAGATTAACGGCCTTAGGGATCCGTTGCGCTGACCACGTGACACCCTCTATCAGCAAAAGTTGGCACTAATTTCGACGACAAGCGGCGGTCGCTCGATCGGTATAGTTCGCTTGCGGACTACAGGCCACGGGGTATCGAATGGGATGTAACTTGTAGTCTGTTGAAATTCAACCGACATTTTGGAAGAAAATTTCGCATCCATCTTCAGGGCTTAGAATGAGTCAGGCAGAAAAACAGCGTGAAGCAGGTAAGGTGATGAGTCTGTCTTTTATTAAATACAGATGAAGAAGATAATTTCATTTAATTTTATGTAAAATTTATGATTTCACGCTTCTATTATAATTCCTTCACGCATTCCGACGTGACCACGTTCCACAGGTTTGGAACTCTTAGTGTAAAGTGCTAGAGTGGTCTCCATATTTACGTTAGTGCGGCAGTCAATCCATATCTTAGTGAGAAAGTAATTCAATACGACCCGGAAGTTTAAATGGCTTCCAAGTGTTCTGTCTGCGTATACTTCGAATTTAGACTGAAGTGGTAGTACAACTTTTTTTCTTACAATTTCTGGTTTTATACTGTATTGTCATTAGAAACCACCCAGTGCTGCATATTTATTTCCGGAGTTCACAAAATTAAAACTGTAATCGACGCCGCTTATGTTGAAAGAATTTCTTTAAAAAAAATATACGTATTCACTGACTGAAAAACGGGGCTTCCTCGCGAGAAATAAATTGATTTGATGCAAAATAGTTAGACAGAGAACAGAGTGCGGCCGTTCACGTACACTGAAGTGTACGTGAACGTGTACGCGGCTTCTCCCGCGTACACTCTTTTGAATTAAAACTGTACGTTCAGTTGCACCTCCCGTGTAACCATTCTATTGGACTGAAGAGACAGAACTGGGAATGAGGTGTATTCAGAAATCCGATCACAGTGGCCTCCCGGTCTAAGCCATGAAATTAGTATTTAGAATTGATAGATTCGTACATTTTTATTTATTAAATTACAACTTTGCATACATGAAAATACAAGAATCTCAATAATAAATATATTTTTGGTGATCACAATGAGATATGTCAATTAAAATAAGCACAAGTTAATTTAACAATGTTGGCTTGAGTAAAATAAAATATGCTACAAGATTTCATTAGTATATTGATTAATAAATAATTTAAATATAATTTTATATTTGTCAACATGCCACACCCTATACTTAAGTGTAGTAATACTTTTTATGATTATGCCATGATTAATTATTAATACTAAGTATAATTGTATAAATCTTAAAACAAATTGGAAAGATATTTAGAAGTAAGTTTGTTGGGACCGGACACTTGTCTTATGAAAAAGAATTTACTGGACCTCGGAAATTTCTCAGATGAAGTCATCTTCTTCCGGTGGCCACAAGTCTCATTCGTCCAGCTCCTATTCATCAAGATCTGGCTTTTCCTGCAACGTTTCAAACACAAAATTTTTACAATTTGTACAGTTTTTGTAAGAAATATGGGTTTCACAGCGGTGTTTATGAAGAGTTCTGTCCTTTGAGATATAATGCAATGTAATCCTTTCAAAGTCAACTGTACTTTTCGTAGGAACATATCGCCTCCATCTTCAGGGTAGAAGAATAAGTAGAGCAAGAAACCAGCTGGAAAGCAGGTGGAAAACTAAGGTTCCTTAGCTTATTTTTCGGCCCTGAAAATAGAGACACTACTTTTTCCTTCAAAACACCCGTCTACTTCCAAATGATTACACAGCGTTATATTCCAGAACATATCGCTCTTCTTTGCCTGTTTTATATGTTGAAATTGTGGGACAACTTTATTTCCATGCTGACTTTGTAGTGACCAACTTGATGTATGCTCTAAATGCAATCACATTCTCTACACCGTGTACCAAAATGATTGAAGAAACTGCACCAAGTGAAGAAGATAGGGCTTCATTCTCGGAATCTTTCGCAACGCCCTTCAAACAGTCATAGTTGCCATCTCCAAGTGACGATTCGCATTGCGCACATGTTTCTTGAGACTGCGAAGAAAAGACTGTCTCGTATCACACTTTCTTCTGACACACGCGGATGTCCTGAACGTTTTCCCCCCTTAAAAAACCCTTTGTCTGAAACTGCTGATACCAAAGTCCAATGCTGTTGGGAGATGAAGAATCAACCTGAAATTATTGCTGGAAGGCCCGGTGAAAAGAAACAACTGTTTCATGCTTCGCAAACTGCAGAACACGAAACACTTATTGCTCCGGAGTCGCCATTTTCTCTTTGTTACGTTACTGACCTAGTGAGGGGAGGGGGAAGGGAGTGGCGATTGCGCATGCGATGAAAACTTGAATACATGCGCTTTTGTTCCACGTGGGAAACATAATTCTACGTGCATCTACAAAGCCGGTATGGTCGCTTGAAACCGCTCCAATGATTTTGGTACAGGATGTATTCATTGTTTACTTATTGTATTTGTGGTTAATCTGACAATGCTGTTAGCATCTCAATTTGTGTATCATCGAGTGGTAAGATGATAAGGCAATAATGAATTACTCGCGGCCGAAGAGGGAACGCTCCTGTAGCTTATTCGAGAGTCTCAACAGGGAGATCGACTATTGTGCCTGAGGCTTTCGATGTTTCTCTCGGCCCTCGCTGCAGACAAATGCCAAAATAATGTCTCAGATTAGAGCTTGACCACTTCATTCTACGTCCTCACCAATTCATTATTTACTACCACCTCACAATTCGACGTTATCATGGAAATAAAAATAACGTGCCTAGAGCTACCGAATAAAGGCACATGAAAATTATAACAGGATAGCCGCTTTCCGCCACGTGATATAAACACGCGACCTTCTGATTACAAAGAAAGATGCTACCCGTTCGGTAAGAGTCGCTCTTGAAGACCTTCTCAGGGTTGTCCTCGTTATGTAACACATGAGAGCGGACCATCGTGTTAACGAGTCGCTAGTGGTGCAATTTCATTGAGATCTAATAAAATGGAATATAAAAGAGACATTCCTATTTTCAAATTCTATTAATTGGGGATGCTCAGATAAATTATACAGAATTTTATGCAAATTAAATTCTTCTGATAGGCAGTACTTACAGCTCTCAGACTTTTCCGGAATTCCTCCAACTTCTTCTGTGCTGGGGTCCTCTCTTTGTTTCTTCTCATGTAGTTCCTCTTACACAGAGAGTCCTGCATGCAGTGAAGCTCGACTTCCTCATCAAGATGTTCCCCTCGCTCCTGAGGACATTAAAACCAGCCACAGGGTAAGGTCATCTTCGGAGATAAAGGATGAATCAAAGAAAACGATCTCTTATTAAAGACAGGTAGATTGAGTTATGGAAAAAAGAAACAATAAAACTGTAACAAACACCAGAAGATGTAAACAAAATAGCGTAGGGTATTTCAGTTAATTGTAAGACTTGAATGTTAGTATGCATTTCCAGCTTGACTTCGCGACTTTACAAGAATCAAGACAAGTCATATTACTCGTATAGCCTCGTATGTCTCTCATACTGAATATTACCGTTCTTACATGCCGTAGACCTACTTACTTCTGTCAGGTTTTTAAGAATCTTCCTTAGTCTCCCGTTTCTTTATCTGTCTGTTGGTCTTTGGTTCTCCATTTCCAATTGCGCGTAAAATCATCGCAGCCAGTCACAAAACAGTCATGTGTGCAGACAGAGACGTTAAAAAGAAAGGAAGCAGTAAATGGCAAACAGACGGCATATGCCGTCGCTTGAAGAATTGTTTGCCAAATTACTCTCCTCAGATTTTGTTTTCAGTGTTTGCAGGATGATAACTGCTCCCTTTATATACACAAGTTTAGCTATCGCTTATAGTAACATTATTTTCCCGATGTGCTCCGAACCTTCCAGTTGAACTTAGCGGTTTACCGAGGAAGCAGGTTCAGTAGACTGCAGTATGTCTAGGGCTACACTCGTATGTAGGCACATCCACATGAAATTATGTTACTGTTCCAGATCTAGATTGTTGGTTACACAGCATGGCGAATGAATTATCTTTTGAGATACAGTAACTCCCTTTCATGGAGTTTTCAAAACTCATTCAACTGTTTGAGGTAATATTTCTATATGATGCCGAATATCAACCTGCTATACATATATTTTCTTCTCTCAGTTGGACGGAGGTTAAAAACGAATTGGGCCATCCAAGCGACATTTGGTAGGAAGCCAGATAACGGAAATGAATGTATACAGATTATGAAACACTGTTTGCATACTAGCATTTACAGTAATTGCGGCGGTATATATCTTAAAATGCTGTATCCTCCAAGCATTACGTAAATGAAACCTGTTCTTGAGGAATTAGAAATTTCTCAGAGTCAATAATGAGACGACGAGGCGAGTCCTGTACACTGGTCCATAAGCTAAATTACATTTTGTTGTTACATCCTGAATATTTCCTTCTATTTCTCCATAGCATTCCGGAATAGGCTCCCTGGCCTGTTGCAATTCGAAATAAGTTTCTGAAATTGTGACATCGAACTTTAGTAAGTCTCCTTGCCCAGAGAAGGGAGGCTGTTCTGCGCACCTCAGGGGTTGTCCTTACACAAAACCACGGAAGCAAAGATGAAACGTGAAGAAATACCATTCCTTCTGAGCTAAGAACCAACAAATATTTACTGGATTGTTAGGAAACATAGCGCGCCTTAGACTACACGGAGACTCTGAGCAGCCTGCATTGCCTAAACATAAATATAAATATACGGGCACAGGGGTCGAGGGGCTAGAAATCTTTGCAATAGGAAAGCAGGTATATGAGGTTTGCACGGAACCCCTCTACTTCTCCAGGATCGACTCAATGCATTTCCCGTCATCAGAATATTACATCCTCACAGCCAGCTTTTGTATTAACCTCCCAGCTACAAGTGCATTCACAGTGCATAGTGCAGTGGCTTACCTGCTTTTCGCCGCGTCGCTGGGCTGTCGCCGTCACAGACGTCACAGGGCGTTTGGCTGTCGCCATCCCAGGTGTCACACGTCGCTGTTCTGTCACCGTCACAGGTCGCTGGGCTCTCGCCATCCCAGGCTTCACAGGTCGCTGTGCTCTCGCCGTCACAGGTCGCTGTGCTGTCGCCGTCACAGGTCGCTGGGCTCTCGCCATCCCAGGCTTCACAGGTCGCTGTTCTGTCGCCGTTACAGGCGTCGCAGGTCGCTGTTCGGTCGCCGTTACAGGCGTCGCAGGTCGCTGTGCTTTCGCCGTTACAGGTCGCTGTTGTGTCACCGTCACAGGGCGCTGTTCTGTCGCCGTTATAGTCATCACAGGTCGCTGTGCTCTCGCCGTCACAGGTCGCTGGCCTCTCGCCATCCCAGGCTTCACAGGTCGCTGTGCTCTCGCCGTCACAGGTCGCTGTGCTGTCGCCGTTACAGGCGTCGCAGGTCGCTGTGCTCTCACCGTCACAGGGCGCTGGGCTCTCGCCATCCCAGGCTTCACAGGTCGCTGTGCTCTCGCCATCACAGGTCGCTGTTCTGTAATAGTCACAGGGGGCTGGGCTCTCGCAATCTCAGGCTTCACAGGTCGCTGTTCTGTCGCCGTTACAAGCGTCGCAGGTCGCTGTGCTTTCGCCGTCACAGGTCGCTGTTGTCTCACTGTCACAGGGCGCTGTACTATCGCCGTTAGAGTCGTCACAGGTCGCTGAGCTGTCGCCATCCCAGGCTTCACAGGTCGCTGTTCTGTCGCCGTTACAGGTCGCTGTCCTGTCGCCGTCACAGGTCGCTGTTCTGTCATCGTCGGAGGTCGCTGTTCTGTCACCGTCACAAGCGTCACAAGGCTCTGTTCTGTTGCTGTCACATGAGTCACAGGTCCCTGTGCTGTCGCCATCACAGGTCGCTGTTCTGTCACCGTCACAGGGCGCTGTTCTGTTCCCGTTACAGGCGTTACAGAGCTCTGTTCTGTTGCTGTCACCGTCACAGGGCGCTGTGCTGTCGCCGTCACAGGTCGCTGTTCTGTCACCGTCACAGGGCGCTGTTCTGTCGCCGTTACAGGCTTCACGGGGCGCTGGGCTGTCAGCATTCCCGGCGTCACAGGTCGCTGTGCTGTCACCGTCATAGGTCGCTGTTCTGTCGCCGTTACCGGCGTCACAGAGCTCTGTTCTGTTGCTGTCACAGGCGTCACAAGACCCTGTGCTGTCGTCGTCACAGGCGTCACAAGTCCCTGTGCTGTCGCCGTCACAGAGCGCTGTGCTGTCGCCGTCACAGGTCGCTGTTCTGTCATTGTCTCTTTTTCTGTTCCGAGACGCCTGGAAAACTGAACATATCACAGTGGCTTCAGGAACGGGTAGCTAAGTGGCTTAATCGCCTTCGATAATGCGTGATTCAAGAATAGTTTGCGGCATCACAGAATTAATATTCGTTGTGAATTTTCTTCGATTTGAACAATTACACCACGGCAAAATTCTTCACACACCTACAAACATGCAATGTATTGTGACGAATATGATCATATGCTAGGCCATGGCTTGTTGAACACTTCATAAAAACCGGAGTGATTGCAGAAACGAATATTATCCATTGCTAGACAACTAATGGTTGCAACAAATTTCGCGACATCGAACACGCTTGGAGAGATGAAATCATTTCCCAAATTAACACAAGATTCTGAGGCAACTGATTCTTCGAAAACAGTAATGGAACCCTTGAATGTGGTGACTTCTATGAGGACCGCGTGGTAGTTTCAAAATTCAGTGAATTCGTGATTTTTTTTTAAGACAGACATCATTCAAGGCATTCGGAAAGTCATTCATAATGAAATTCAGACGGCAGTTCAGTAGTTGAAAGTTTAAGCAGATAAGGTTCGTTACAAAGCAACGACTAGCAAGGAGATGTTGAAGACTTCCTTTTGTGTGTTATAGTCACAGTAATACGTATTTAGAGTGTTAAAATTATTTGTAGTTACAACTTGTGAGTGTCTAGTAAAAAAAATTAAAGTTCTCCCTGTAACAGGTCGTGGAGGCCCATGGGGTTGTGAGATGTTGAGGTTCCAACATTTTCTAGACAATCGGCTCGTAGATGGCGGCAAGATTATCAGTCTTACGCGCTGGCCGCCCTTTACCCCCAAGAACATCCGAAGAATATTCCGGGTACTCATTTCTGTTAGAGGCTGAGTCGATCCCAGGGCCATAGTGCGGTTGGAATGAGTGGGCCAATTGAAAAAGAAATCCAGTGACGGCATCGAGACTTGAACCCGCGACCGCCATGCTTGTAGCATAGTACCTCAATCAACTACGATATCGCGTACCCCCTTGTGAGTGTCTAATAATTCTATTCATCTAATCCAGAACCCATTATAATTATTCACACCAATCAGGGACATGTGACAGTAAGTATTTCTTTGTTGTGTGTCCCCGTGCCAAGATGCAACGGTGTTCCACTCACGAGTACATAAGAACATGCCATTATCCATTATCCTCAGACAAATAAAACCCACAACCTCACACACTAATTTTGAATGCTAATATTACAATGCGATATGCAGTATATCAGGTAGGTCTCTCGCATTCAAACCTTGAACTAATATGTCTTCAAAGTGTGCTACAAGTCTGTTATCCTATCAAATTAGTATTAGATGTAATAATTTATTTTTCTTTTGTTTCTAATCATTTTAAAAATTTCATATAATGTTGTGGCGTATAGATTCGTCGCTAAGCAATGACTGTGAACAGCGGCCGTTGCGGCACGGAACAGCAGAGAAACTGTTTTCTTAGTGGTTAGAAGCGGGATGTTATNCCTATCAAATTCGTATTAGATGTAATAATTTATTTTTCTTTTTTTTTCTAATTATTTTAAAAATTTCATATAATGTTGTGGCGTATAGACTCGTCGCTAAACGGTGACTGTGAACAGCGGCCGTTGCGGCACGGAACAGCAGAGAAACTGTTTTCTTAGTGGTTAGAAGCGGGATGTTATGTAAGGACTCTGGCAGAAGGACTTCAGTTAAAGCAATTGTGGTCCTGATCGGCGGTAAACAGCCAGCGTTAAATTCACTTTGACTTTGACTTTGCTCTAATAAAATATGGTAAAGAGTACCGTGGGACTCTAAACCAAGGATAATTGTGCTGTTGAGGACCAGCAGCAGTTTAAGAGCCAGCTAAGTTCAGTTGTGAGACATTGGCCATTCGGGAATGACCCGAGCGTGGAAGCTGAAGAATCTCCACTGCTAGAAGCCATTATCTGAAAACGGCTAGTGTAGACACTGCGGTGTGGAATACAGTTAGCGTGGATTCTGGTGATGTGTAAAGTATGGAGATCAGCGATGGCGCTATAATTAAGTGTAGTCACGAGTCGTGTGTTAAAGTGGTCAATAAATGAGTCACCAAAACTAATTTGCCTCTATAGTCACTCATAGAAGTGACAATATCTATAATACATCTAATTTGACAATTTGCCAGAAACACATTTTTTCAATCAGCATGACAATTTGCTTTTTTAATTTCAGTATGAACATGTCTGAAATTTGCTTACCTTATCACGTACCCATCTTTGGATGCACTCGAAGCACCCGCCGGTGGACGAGTCTCGGGAGTCTTCTGTGCCCTCTCCCGTGTTGTCTGGGCATTTCCTCTCGTAAACATCTTCATTACTATTCAGGTCATTCTGAAAGGGACAAATCGAAACTTCAGTTCATATTTTAGTTGGCAAGACTGCTTATGAGTTCTATAAAATTCTTACTTCCAAAATTTGCCAGACACGTATGTTTCAGTCAACGTGATAATCTGTCTTTTTAGTTTCAGTATGAACATGCCTGAAATCTGCTTACTTTCTTGCATAACCATGTTCGGACCCACCCGAAGCAGCAGCAGCTGATGGACGAGTCTCGGGCCTCTTTTGAGCTCTGTCGGAATTTGTCATGAGGAGAGCAGTTGTCACCCTCCATTTCGGTCGGAAAACAAGCATGATTGCTCTCCGTACGACGTCCCATTTCCAAACCAGAAAGACCTATGTTAAGAGACATTTCCGTGGTTCTTTCACGTTATTACGTACACAGTCTTCTCTTGCGATGGGTTGAAATGCCAGTTGAATGCTGTAACAAAGAAAATACGTCACGATTAAGGTATGTGAACTCAGGAAATTAATTAGTTGAAGTCTGATGAATGTGAAAGCATACATGTCCGTTTGTGTTTTAAAAGTTCTGCTTTAAGAGCAACTACCATATTCTTACGTGTAGTAGTGGCCACAGATGTGGCTAGGATTGGTGAATAGATTTACTGACTATGTAATGATCGTAACTACAAATAACTATATATTATCACTGATTTCCACAATTCACAAGTCACTACATGCTAAGTTTTCTTAGTTTGTTTTGCTAAACGTTACCTGTAATGGATTTTAACGATGAAGGTTCTCCCAGTTCGAGTAATATCAAATGCTGTGAAGCCCTGATTATATTCTTTTGGACGGACGAAACAGAAAACTCGACTCTAACAGTTTGGCTACTGTTGTTGCGGGCGGTTGCCTAGCAATAGCCCAGATATCGTTTACCAAGCAGCCCATTCCTATAGCAACAGTGTTACACGCAGCAATACAAGCTGGAACTTAGCATATGTAGTTAGGGAAAAGTGGAATTGTTTACATCGCGTGTATTTTTAGTCTAATTTCCTACTTTTAACCAGAATTCTTCTGTCGTTGCATTTATATTCTTTGCCGCGGAAACTCTTTTACCGATTTGCTGCTAGTATCTGCGCCGTTGTCTAGTAAGGGGTATGGGATACACAGATATGACGGTAATTTCATAAGCCTACTTTTGTTTTTTGAAATAGAGAAGAATGCTAACTTATGAAAGTAGGTTTGTGAGAACACCTTGCTGTCTGCATATCTCCTTGTTGCTAGGTTTCGGGTAAGTAAACAGGTTCCCACGACAACGAATATACATGCAACAGTAGAAGGATTTTTGCACGCCTCATTTTCTAGGTGGCCCATATCGTATCAAAGGAAATAATGTTATTAGTTCTCCCGGAACTTATTTTCTTTACTTTTACCTCCGCTTCTTTTTACGGGCAGCAATTGATGAGTTCACATATAAACTATATTTCCTTGAGGGACACAAGATGGCAATGATAATATAAACGAAGCCGTAGAAAGGAAACGTGTTTACATAAGGCAGAAAGGAAGTTTTCTTAGGAAACTTGTGAATTTAGATATGTGACACTCGAAAAAGAATACTATCTTGAAGCTATAAAAAATCATATGTCACAATATTTCGGACTAAAAATAAAAACATTATCGCGATTGTTTAATAAATTGTTTTGTCTTCCAACACCAATAGCAGTAGGAGCTGTAGAATGTATACCACCATCTAGCGGTCTGAATACGAATTATGAAACTATCTCGGAGGTTATTTTTACTGGAATTGAAACTAACAATTAAGCTGTAAGGTAGGGTTTCAATTAATTACTAGTGTCTGTATATGCGGAGGCAAGACTTGTACAAGGTCCAGCCCGGATGTCTGTTTTGAATCAAGGTGCAATGGCTTTTCTAGGTGTAGATAAATCCAAGGAAGAAATTAAGTTTAGTTTATGTCTGATTTCATTTTATTCAACATAACCCAAAATTTAGCACGTGCATCATGTTTGTCATCTTTTCTGATTAATTATTTCCAGGCTTTGAGACAATTTATTCTACTTTTATTTCGATCGGGTACGGGCATGAAAAGTTGTAATATCCAGCAAATTTGATTCTGCTAGACTACCGCAAAAGAAATATTTGTGCAGGAGACATTTCTTGGAAAGTAAGTTCATGATTAAGCTATCTGATATCAGGAAATTAATTAGTTGAATTCTAATAAATATAAAAGAGTATGTGTCAGTTTATGTTTTAACGTTCTTATTTAAAAAACAACTAACATATTATCAGGTGTGTGAGTGGCCATAGACGTGATTGGGATTGGTGAATAGAGTTATTGGCCATGTAGAGGTCGTAACTACAAATAATTATAATATTATCAATGATTTCCACAATACACAAGTCACTACATGCTAAGTTTTCTTAGTTTGTTTACTAATCGTTACCTGGTAATCGATTATAACGATGAAGGTTCTCCCAGTTCGACTGATATCAAATGCTGTGGAGCCCTGGTTATATTCCTTTGGACGGACAAAATAGAAAACTCGACTCTAACAGTTTGCCTACTGTTGATGTGGGCGGTTACCTAGCAATAGGCTAAAATATGAAAGTAGGCTTGTGAGATCACCTTTCTGTTTGCATATCCCCTTGTTGCTAGGCTTTAGCTCGGTAAACAGGTTCCCACAGCAACGGATACGTCACAGTAGAAGGATTTTTGTGCGCCTCATTTTCTATGCGGTCCATGTCGTATCAAAGGAAATAATGCTATTAGTTCTTCCCGGAACTTATTTCCTTTAGTTTTACCCTCGCTTCTTTTTACGGGCAGCAATTGATGAGTTCACATACAAATGATTTTCCGTTGAGGGACAAAAGATGGCAACGAAAATGTAAACGTAACCATAGAAACGAAACTCGCATCCATAAGGCAACGAAACTTGTGAATATATATATATGACACTCGAAAAAGAACATTATCTTGAAGCTATAAAAATCATATGTCACAATATTTCGGACTAAATGTAAAAACATTATCGCGATTGTTTAATAAATTGTTTTGTCTTCCAACACCAATAGCAGTAGGAGCTGTAGAATGTATACCACCATCTAACGGTCTGAATTCGAACTATGAAACTATCTCGTAGGGTATTTTTACTGGTATTGAAACTCACAATCAATTAAGCTGTAAGGGAGGGTTTCCATTAATAACTAGTGTCTGTATATGCGGAGGCAAGACTTGTACAGGGTCCAGCACGGTATGTCTGTTTTAATTCATGGTGCAATGGCTTTTCAAGGTGTAGTTAAATCCAAGGAAGAAATTAAGTTTAGTTTATGTCTGCGTTCATTTTATTCAACATAACCCCAAAATTTAGCACGTGCATTATGTTTGTCATGTTTCCGAATGAATTATTTCGAGGTTTTGAGACAATTTTCTACTTTTATTTCGATGGGGTATGGGCATGAAAAGTTGTAATATCCAGCAACTTTGATTCTGCTAGACTACCGCAAAAGAAATATTTGTGCAGGAGACATTTCTTGGAAAGTAAATTCACTACAGCAGAAAGATTACACCTGAACAGAATTGCGGTTCCATGTGGCTCAGTTTTCTGCTTCGCAATCATTTTCACAACCTCCATTTCATTTCATTTATTTCGTGTCCATGGATCATTATACATGATATAAGACATGTCATTCTTGTGTAGTTATAGTATAATAAGTTTCATGATGTTACTATGGGGGGGGGGTTGCATGTGAAGCATGCAGTGCAATGTGGAATTTGGGTACCAACTCAGCATTTGCTCTGGGACCAAGGAAAACCACGGAAAACCTTGATCGAATTGCCCGGTCACAAGACCTCCCAGATACACTGGTTTCTAGCAGCACCAGTCCCTTCCTTGAATCTCTTGCCCTCAGTTGTAAATCACAAAGACTATACTCATGTTGTATTTCTCACCTCCTAAACAAGACAAGACACTGGTGCCATCCCCTGTAACACATATTCCTATCCATGCACATGGTCCTTCCACTTCCTTTAAAATGTTGGCAGTGCAACAATCACCAACTTTTGCAGCAAAAGAAACCTCGTTTCCCTTAAGCCCTGAATATATAAATGCTTCTGACTGGGGACTAAGGCATATCAATCATTGCAGCATGTCACAGTGCTCTAGTGGCTACAGGTAAGGACGACGCCACTCTGTACAATGAATTGTGTTCTGTGATGAAAGGAGTGGCTAACGAGAATAATGAGAGCTGATCTTCAAAGTGATTGTCCCCACAACCCAGTTGTGATCAAACAAATATCATTGTCATCATCATCATCATTCATTAGTTATGGAACGGTACATCAGTGTAGAAGTTACTCATAATATAT